TGCTCATAAAGAGCGCAGCGATTCTTATGGCGTCAAACCGCTCGGAGTGAAAATTGACAGGCTGAATACGGAAACCGTTTTTAGGCGCTGTTCGGCTTGGAAGCGGCATATTGCACTCTCTGTAGTCCCTTTTGTTGGTTTGCATGAACTCAATGGTCCCACTTTAGTAGGCCCATGAAAATCCCAGGCTGCAAAATTGTGCGAGCGAGCCGCTTAGGTCACAAAAACTTACAGGTCATCAGAAGGTGGCCTGTATAACCTTAGCTGCGTACCATTTGACGCACCAAGCCGAACTGTGCCGTTTTTTACTCAACTGGTACTGGTACTCAATAAGCTAGGTAGTCAACTGTAGCATTCATGGGTTCAGGTTGGACATTATCGAGTGGATGCTTCATTGTGCGACATCCTACATGCACCATCTCAGCCCTGACTCGCAGGATTCAGCGGTCTCACTGAAGAGGGACTGCGGGCGCAGTTCGGCCACGGGAAGGCATTTTGCGCTTTCGCCCACTTCCCTTCGACGTGTCGACCTACTCTTCTCGAGTTGACAGGTTTTAACATGATGGCTTGACGACCTTGCTCCAGCTTCACAAGAGTTCACAGGTTTCGCCAGAGTGAGACTTGTAAACCGGAACTAAGGAAGCAATGATAGTACAAAATGCCCCTCCTCCCCTCCCGCCCTTCCCCCGCCCCCTCTCGTGGCCGGAACGCGCCGTGATGGCTCTAGCACACACTAGCCTCAGTTAGATCATTCAAGGTTTACGATGGCACAATGACAGATATGGCGCTAAAATATGACCACGAGGGTTAAGAGGCACACATGTGAATAAAACAGGAAACACCGTCAAGAACTTCCCCTATAGGGCCTCTTACATAGTTGACATTGCACAACGCTGAAAGGAGTTTTCTAGTATGCTGACCATGTGGATACAGGGTTTCTGTCAACCGCATGCTCTCTGGCTGCGAGGGTCCGTAGGAACTTTCTCAAGCATATGGCCGAGCATTTGAAGAGAAGCGAATAAGGAAGATGGAGAGAGAGGAAGAACGAGGAATATAAGGGAAAGAATGGACCACGAAGGCGGAGGGGAAGAACTTCAAGGATAAAGAGACACCTGCGATGGGCTTTGCTGTAGTACGTTGAAGATGAGATGAAGATTTGAAGTTCTGAATACAGGGGATGCACGTAGTCTTAAAGTTGCGCACAAACTAATGAGGCCGGTGCTGGTCCGTGGAAGCCATTTAGTCGGCCATACCTCAATCCTTGCCTTCGGTATAATGACCTTAGTTTGAGACACGATTATTGGTCTGTGCTATACCGCCTGTCACTGCCTGGCTGATGTACGACTCACGAATGAATGGAGTCCTGTGCAAGGGTGACGCAGTCGGTTCTACAAAGTCTGAGAAACACTTTCTTGGGTATAAAGGCTGGGACATTTGTTTTGATAGCTGATTTTTCTCGCTTCACGGACATTGCAAAGAAGGGGGCCAGTACCTTTTCTCGTTCCACGGACATTGGAAAGAGGGGGGCCGTACTTGCTCCTTGTTGGAAGGGAGCGGATCGTATTCAGTTTCTGGCCCTCCCTCTCGGACAGGTGGTTGACTTCTCCGTGATTCTCCTGTTTCCTTTACTATAACACCCCACGCTCGTCAGCTCGATGAGGAGGAACAGGGCGGCAAAGGGGGGGGGGGGGGAGGTCGTACCAAGCCTCGAAAAAAGGGAGGGGGTCGTACGGACTTGAGCAAAATCCCCAACCAATGATGTGCCCTGCCACAGCCTAGACGTAGCAGCAAATCGCCCCACCCATAGTTCAAACGGCAGGGAACCCAAAGATAATGGCGCCCCCACATAGCCTAAGCGCCTGGAAACCATGGAGATCACCAGTCAGCGTGGCGACCTCGCACAGCCGGCGTTCTTCTTATTGCCCCAACCAACATTCATTGGTTCTCCCACCGGTTGACCTCGCCGTGCCAACAGAAGACCTTCCAGAGAACGTAGGCAGGGACATCGTTGTCAGCAAGAAAACGGCTGGGATCAACTGGTGCGTTCATATCGACCACAACATCACTGTCCGGTGATCTTGCCCGATCACACCCTTTGCCGCCCCCTCCTGTACGAATGGGGAGCCATACGAGTTCCAGTGTGCTGTTTGCATTCACTAGTAAAGGAAAAAGTGTACAAAACCGTGAAGGGCGCAGTCAATAAGGTCCATGGATTAGACGAGAAAGGTAGACTGTTACTTAGGCGAGAAATTGGAGACACCGGTCAAGAGAGCAGGAAAGTTGAAGGATGATGGCATGGCAAGTTGTTCTCACAAAGAATGAACGCAGCGCATCATACACATGCTTCAGGGTGTAGGATTGATGCACCTCCTGTGGGTGGTGTATACCCCTAACAATCGCTGTAGCGGTTTTGTCGCTCATTGTCGAGCTGCGACAGTGGGACAGCCGACATCAGCCAGCGCCCTGGTTAGAAGCACAACTGAGCAGTGCTCAGACTTCACGAAGGTAGCGCTTCGGTCGCGGTTGGTCGCGATCGATACGCATGCATCCGCCTTGGGAAAAGTTTTTCGTGTTAAAAAATGTGAAAATATTGCTGGTGATCCTGTAAAGGGGGTGTTGTTCACATTGAGGAACGACTACCACAGGCCGTATGCCACCTAAAGCAGTTGATATAATCGTAATAAGTCAGTGAGGGAGGGGTGTTAAAGGGCCTGGAATTAGCCCATATACGGTGTTTTATCCTCTGGTTGGTTTCTACCTGAACTGGCCACTGATGTAACGCAGCCTCGAAAAGCTCGTTCTACACCTCCTGACCCCCCTCCGCCCTAATGCGACAACATCAACCATACTCCGTATTCCTGAGATGGAGTAGGCGTGGCATTTGAACATGGCATAGAATGGGTTACTCGTGGGATATTTCAGCTTGAGACAACTGTCATGTTGTTCAGTGTTGGACAAAGGCATGACCACAAGTGTCTCAGAATGAAAATATCTCATCAAACGCACAGTCACTACCACGATTTTTGAAGGTGTCAGCCTTCAAAAATTGCTGGTAGTGACTGTGCGTTTGATGAGATAAATCGTGGTAGTGATCCTGGTAGCCACGCGTACCACATCTCAGTACCTCTCGGTTTCGAGTGTATATCTTCTTATTTACTTGACGCGAGCAGGCGCCAAGACAGTATTTGATCCGAGATAGCACTCATGAACTGTACAGGTACAACTTATATCATTGCAAACTCTCGGAGAGCAATCCGCGGTTCCCACCTGCTGGGCTTTCACCAGTGGTTGGTCTCCTCCTAAATCGATCTCTACGGTAGAGCAAATCAGCCGGACGCGGGCCTCGAACCACGCCGCTCACGCCGCCCCTAACAAATGGCAATTCAATGGAAGTTACAAACTATAAATGCCTTCAAGGGAACAGTCCACGATGACCTATGAAAATGCAAGAGGTTATGTGGGAAGATAGTGCGAGTGGACAACCCTGTGCCGGTTTCGCGGCGGAAAGTTGTACGGTAAAGGAATTTCAAAGTTGCTTCAGTGGTACATCCCTTTTTCCAGTGACTCCGCCTCCAGACTCCGCCTCCAAAGTCGGCCTTCCAGCCAAAAGTAATGCTCCCGGGCAAGTATCATGGAGTGGACGCATTTAGTATTTCTTGTAGAGTTATAAGGTTCATTACTGGGAAGAAGCCGACGGGAATTGTCCCAGTGCGCGGTCTCTTCGGTCGGTTTTTACCTCTACAGTTGTTTGAGGCTAGAGGAGGCCTGACGAATGCGTTTCCAACGTTCCCTTTGGCATTTTCTCTTCATAGACGGTTCACTTGGCGAATTTTTTCCACCTTCTGCAACATCACCTAGGGTTTTTATCGCGGACCGTGCTTCTAAATAGCCACCTCAACCTGAAATTCTTCTATTGTAAGGCGTGTTCTGATTCCAGAGAATATCGTAAATATTTATCGAATTCAATTTGAACAAACATAATACTCATAATCTGACCCGAAAGGATCACATTGAGTTATATCATTTGACCAGTGAATGAGATGGGTTTTCTAGCTTACAGTCAGTTGTTACTGACATTCACAATCGAAAATTAAGCTCAATTATAGGAAATGGTAATTAGGAAATGGTGAAGTAGAAGAAGAAGAAAGCGTAAAAATACAACCATAATCTCTGCAAACGACAGGGCGTGTGACGGGGCGTGGAAGGCGGCCTTTCCATCAATTATGCCATCCTCAGCCCCATACTGGCTGAGAGGATTGTTCTGGCTCCGATCCAACTCATGCTCCTTTACACGCCCTACCGTTTGCTGGGATAATGACTATACATGCCTAATCGTACACAGTACGGAATATTCGATATACAAGTATGGATCACACGAAACCCAGGCCCACATTCCCTTTGGGACCAATCCGTATGGAGAAGTGATTTAGCAGACGTTCTGAGCAGTGGCGTAGACGTTCGGATATGTTGACAAGTCATTTTCCGTTGACGGATAAGGCACACCGAAAACTCGTCCGGCCAGTTTGTACCCATCAGGTAAATTGAATTTATTTGGTAAATCCTCAAAACGGATGAGTTTCTTTGGATTAGCATGAAGTGACGCCATTTCGTCCAAATCGTCCATACTCAGCGAGAAGTCGAAGACCTGAAAGTAATGGTCAGTACTTTCTAGGGAATTAATACCGTCTTCAGCCCCATTTTTCGAAATTCGGGCCAAGTTTGGAGTTTGAGTTTGCCGTAATTATAGCCGCGAAGAGCACTTGGCTAGCACTTGCTTTTTCTTGCTTGTTTATTTGCCTTTATGGGTCTTTGCGCGTACTTTGACCCCCGAACACGAATGTTACAGCTGATTGATCGCGCTCGAGCTTGCGAGGCAGCAGACGTTGCCAAAACATCTCAGACCACCAAATCTGCTGGGAACTTAAGCATGCCTATTTGGGACCGCCAGAAACTTTGCGCATGTGCACAAACTGTCCTGTACCTCCGCAGGTGGGGAAGCGCGCACCAATCCTTTTCATTCCGAACAGACTTGATATTCGCGCTAGAAGGGTTAAACTACTCTCATAGGCCTAATCTGCTACCGAGAAAACTTCAAAATCTGGCCCTAATATCGAAAAACAAAGGATTATTACTGATAAATAAATACAAAGTGCCTTGGGTCCGAATCCTGGACAAGCCCTGTTCAAGAAAATCGTGATTTCACAGGAGACAATCACAGAGGACAGTGCGTGCTATTCAGGAGATTTTTGCAAAATACGGTTCCCTCAGAAGTTCCTCCTCTTCTAACTCTCATTCCCCATCCTACCTATCAGCCTTCTACAACTTTTCCATAGTTTTTTTAAAAAGGTTCCTCATATATTCTTTGAGAAGCTGCCGTGGGGAGGTAACCCTACGCGTAAGCGTGCTTCCTCGAGCTCCCTGACGTGGATTTCCGACGTACGGTGTGCCCTGCCAGAGGTTTACTGGCACTACATTCCTCTAAAAGGACCGTGGGCAGGGCTGACATAAGCATTGCGACCTCTACGAGCTACTGGGAGATACTAAAATGCCACTAGGATCCAGAACTCAAGCTGAAGGCATGGCACGTCTTCAGAAGAATTTAAATAATCGAATTTTGCCCCACATAAGCTGACTTACAGGCAATTGAATGAACTAGTGGATAAATCAATAAATAAATAGGTATAAATAAATGAGTGAATAAATAAATGAAAAAATTGTTCGTTCCGAGAGTAACTATTACTAAGAGCTAGATGAATACTGACTCACATTTTTGTTTTCCAAAATCCGATGCTTTTCTTTGCTTTTTGGAATCACGGGAACGCCGTGTTCGAGAGACCATCTGAGGCAGATTTGAGCCGGTGTCTTGTTGTATTTCGAGCTAAGCCGGAGCAATACATCCGAATCGAGAAATTTCCCTTTGGCTATCGGACAATAACCCTGAAATCAATTACCTGAAATCAATTATTCATGGGCCGGAAAAGAAATCCTCTTTTGAATATGTATCATTCATTAATACTGAACTGAATTTGTCTCAGGTCTAGAGGACTAGCGAGAAGTGGCGCCGCTTAGTACCAACCGGCTTGAGAGGAAAGTATTAGATCAACCCTGGTCAAGCCATCTACCCCACTAGAATCATACAGTTGGCACCAGTCTTGTCTAGGAGGGATAAGGAATGAGGAAAGACCGGTTGTCCCCAGGAAGCCGTTATCTCTGCAGAAGTGGGCGCTGATAACATTAAAGGGGGGGGGGGAAGGGGAATTTGAAAAAAACAATTGTGCAAAAGGGGGTTAGCGTCTTACCGATAGAAGTACCTCACTAGAAAAGGGTTCACTTCAGAGTTCCTTTCCCCTTCAGGCTAGGCCAAAGTGCTTGTATCCATTACTATAATTCTAGCCAGGAGTCCATTGAATGCCCACCACCGAGTTTATCAGCGCCACGAAACACATTCAAAGTACATTAGGCTGCGTTTATACTTTGCGGCAGCGTAGCGTAGCGTAGCGCAGCGTAGCGTAGCGCTTCCAGCGTACGCCAGCGGCAGTGCCGAAGAGAGGATGGATATCGATCTAGCGTTCCCAGCGTCACCAGCGTAACGCTAGCGTACGCAGCGTTTCACCAGCGTTTTGCTGGCGTTTGCAGCGGCAGGGGAGTAGAGACTATGTGGCCGTCAGAGACGCGCAATCGATGTGTTTTGTACCCTCCAGCTCTCCCATAGTCTCTACTCCCCTGCCGCTGCAAACGCTAGCAAAACGCTGGTGAAACGCTGGAGAAACGCTGGCGTACGCTAGCGTTACGCTGGTGACGCTGGGAACGCTAGATCGATATGCATCCTCTCCCCGGCACTGCCGCTGGCGTACGCTGGAAGCGCTACGCTACGCTGCCGCAAAGTATAAACGCAGCCTTAAGGTTCTAGAAAAGCATGCGTGACGCATCCTCAAGAGGATATCGACCCCGCAGGCTTCACAGCAACCGTTCCATAACATATGAAAAATCACTGACCGCATATAAAATGTCGTTATCTTCGCAGAAGGTCCGCAGTTCAACGGGATTGTACCATGGATGAAATTCGGACTGGTTCACATGCGGTTTTACGCTACAGTACTCGAACATCTCTGTGAGATCATCCTCAGAATAGTTGCTAACACCGATGGCACGAATTCGTCCTGAAAAAGCGACTGCTTGACATCTTCGAGGAATTTTCTGAGGTCGGGTAGGTTCAGGAGATCCTTATGGTGGCGACACATCGTGAACGCGCGCGGCATTCGCACCAGGATCCGGTTACTCTAACGCGGAAGTGATACAGTGCGCGAAGTCAGCTAACTGGGAATCCCTCTGCTACTTTTTGAGCGTCGATCTAAGATGGATTTCCTAAACGATGTCCTTCGAAGTCCAGTGCAGAGCTCACCTTCATCATAGAGCAACTCCAGTTGCCGCCACGTCTCTTCGTGAACTTCACGACGATCTCCTAGCCAATCGGGAACTACAGGAAAATGCGTCATAAACAGATCTGAAATTGAATTTTCACATACAGTAAAGGGCTCATTGTCGGCTCGCATACCTAGGTAATCCGTCTGGAGTTTCTCGCATGACAACTCAAACGCCTCCCTTGTCCCTGAGCCAAAATTGACAGGCCACAACTTTGAGCACAGGAACAAATCCGAGCGGGGCACTCCAGACTCCTTAAATACTTCTGTTCAGATGGTGCTCATATAAGAACAAATGGCAAACTGTAAGACGAGCTAGAAGAAGTAAGTTATTGTAGTCATAAGTCGCAGTCCACGCTGATGATATGGGAGGAATCAGGCCCAGGAAAGTGTTCCCCTGCTCTTAATACGTAGTGAAGGGTGTATCTCCCTTTTTGATGCTAACATGGGGAATGCACGCCCATAAGGAAAGCATAAAAGCGGACCTGACTCCGCCCACACGATAAACGTGGAGTGCACTTCTAAACAATTTGCTGAGGGCAGTATACCTTCCATGCGAATCCAAGCTCCCGTTCGACTCCATATCGTCTAGCCGTATCGATCATACGATACCCACAGTTCCGTAGCGCATGTATCACGACATCGTGGTAGTAGCCGCCGGAATGAGTCGTCCCTGGAAAAAGTACCCTCAATCAAGCTCCCACGTGAAGTTTTATTGCTTTCTCGGGAACAAGCTAATAATGGCTGGCTAATAATGACCGTCTGATTGACGTGGGCGGAGGCTCTCTAGGAACAAGAATTCTATAGGAATAAACTGCCAAAAACTAGAGTAAAATCAACGTCTGAAGCGCTACCGTACCCCACTCTCACCACTCTTCATCACA